AGCTCTGATGTGAAGGGGGGGAGCTCTGATGTGAAGGGGGGGAGCTCTGATGCGAAGGGGGGGAGCTCTGATGTGAAGGGGGCTTCTGAAGTAAAAGGGTGGGGGCTCTTGATGCTGAGGGGGGTCTCTGATGTGAAGGGGTGTGCCTTAAATGTTTCAATAAAGCGGAGACCCTGATATAAAGGGGGGCAGTCTGATGTGAGGGGGGAACTCCATGTCATTTTTAATTATTCTTTTGCCCGGGATCCCCCCTTTAAATCCACACAAACACTCTTGTCTAGGATCAGGTTTTGTTATTGAAGGGGGACAAACATCATGTATTACATTTTTAGATTGGGGTTCCTAAAGTTTTCACGTACTTTTAAAAGGGGCAGTGACTGAAGAACGATAGAGAAGCGCTGCTGTATACAATGCAGGCAGATCATGGCTGGTGGTGAAGGGCCGGCAGGGTGCTGTACATAGCTTCCTTTAAAAGGTCACAGCACTGTGCTTCTGTACTCCTCTCAAGGGCCCTCAGCCCTAATGCAAGCAGGGGGCTGGCTCCTGGGAGGAGTTATGCAAATATCTAAATGTCTTGATGGGTGGATGTCAGTCTAGAGGAGTGGGCGTTCCTAGGCAGGCTGAATTTGCATGCAGACCACCCCAGGTAACGCCCACATGTGATGCTGAACCTCCGTATAAATAGACAGGGACAGTCCACGATGCGGAAGAATGATTAGATGATGCTGGACATCCTCCAGCCAGGAAATGAGGGCGGGGCTCTGTCTGACATGCTCGGCTTTTAATGCACATTGTGAGGAGCTTGCAGTGTGCAGTGAAATCAGAGGAAGCCATTCCAGTCCAGGAGAGGAGCCGCTACAACTGTGCAAGACTGAAGGGGAGGCTGGAGGTCAGATAGAAGACTGAAGGGAAGGTCAGAGGTCAGATAGAAGACTGAAGGGAAGGTCAGAGGTCAGATAGAAGACTGAAGGGTACATGGGGTTTGCTGTATTCTATTCTTCTATTATCATGCACACGGTGTATTGCTTCCTGCTCAGTGTATAATGTGTAGCTAATACTTTAAAAAAAAAAGGGAATGTTGTCACCCGGAGGGAAAGTGACGGTGTATATAGAAGTATACGGCTGTCTGGGAATCTGGAGGCGAGGGGGAACGCTCTGCTGCTCGTGAGGCGACTATAATAACAATGACCAAGCCGGCATCAGATTTACATTTACCAGGAATTCTTTGCTTGGCTGAAAGCGGCGCTTCCTCCAGACATCTGATTCTCCTTATCCATGTTACAGACCCTCATAACCCCTTTCCGCCCGCTGTCTGGTTTCTGACAGGGCGTCGTATCGGTGATAGGTAAATAAACGCCCCCGACCTTCGAGAACCAGCATCCACATCAGACTTCCACATAGACTTGAGACTCTTGGAATTTCGGCTGATTTCCGGCTCGGCAAACTTTGACCGAAAATTCGAAGGAGCCCGGGCAGTCCGATCAGATACTACAGCCAATCAGCTGCAGTCATCATTCGGGTATTTATAAACAGCCGTGCTCCCGCGGGCACTTAAGTGTAATAGCTGGCAGGGGAGGTTCCTACATCCGACTTTTGGCTATTGGACAGGAAGTGAAGGGAAATCTTCCCAATGGCCGACACGGATTATAACCCTCTTTTGCTCCATCCAAAATGAAAAAATGTTTTTGCTTCCGCTCTGCATTAACCGTTTTGCTGCCAGTGTCCTATGCAGTATGTGACACTTTATGTGTGTGTGTTTTTTTTTTTTCCCCCTGCAAACATCTGCCAGAAAGATCTTGCGTAGATGATCAGTATTTTATTACGGCCGGGTCCATGAGGTGTTTGCAGCATTTAGAGAAGGGTGGTGGGGTCATTGAAAAAGCAAGGACTCTTCCAATGCTTTTCATCAGTGAGCTCACCAATGAATGTTACGAGGTCTTTTCTCATCCAGTTTTATGTCATTGTTTTGCACGGAAACACTCACTGCTCATAAATACTTCTCTTTTATATACCGTCTTATTAACATGGCACTCTGACGAGACAACAGCGAGTGTCTGTGTTTCCTTGCTGAGCGCGTTCGGCCAAATTATACAGGGAAAGCAGAGAACTGTGCTTTTAAGCGCAGCGGATTTAAATACGATATTCATTTCTAGCCTTTTGGCTAAGATCAAGTGTAGTATCTGTTCTTATCAGTTGCCGGAGGGGAAAGGACATGGTCGACTATGTAGAAAGGTGGACTGTGGCTTAGTACCCTCTGGTGTACTAAGCCGTCGCCGGGGGTTCAGCAAACATCTGAGCATTCCGTTATAAAGTAACTGCAACATTTCTATCCCCCCTTCCCCTCTTATTTACTCAGATTGTCCCAACCATGACGGGGCAGAAGCGGAGCTCCAGCAAGTTTGAAGCAGATGTTGCAGTAAAAGGCAAAGTCCGCCTCATGTATCTGGGCCCCACCCCCCATTGTAAATAGCAGCATGAAAGTCATAAAAAAAAACCCCCGCTAGGGTTCCATGTTGCACTCCATAGGCAGGCTGAATTTGCATGCAGACCACCCCAGGTAACGCCCACATGTGATGCTGAACCTCCGTATAAATAGACAGGGACAGTCCACGATGCGGAAGAATGATTAGATGATGCTGGACATCCTCCAGCCAGGAAATGAGGGCGGGGCTCTGTCTGACATGCTCGGCTTTTAATGCACATTGTGAGGAGCTTGCAGTGTGCAGTGAAATCAGAGGAAGCCATTCCAGTCCAGGAGAGGAGCCGCTACAACTGTGCAAGACTGAAGGGGAGGCTGGAGGTCAGATAGAAGACTGAAGGGAAGGTCAGAGGTCAGATAGAAGACTGAAGGGAAGGTCAGAGGTCAGATAGAAGACTGAAGGGTACATGGGGTTTGCTGTATTCTATTCTTCTATTATCATGCACACGGTGTATTGCTTCCTGCTCAGTGTATAATGTGTAGCTAATACTTTAAAAAAAAAAGGGAATGTTGTCACCCGGAGGGAAAGTGACGGTGTATATAGAAGTATACGGCTGTCTGGGAATCTGGAGGCGAGGGGGAACGCTCTGCTGCTCGTGAGGCGACTATAATAACAATGACCAAGCCGGCATCAGATTTACATTTACCAGGAATTCTTTGCTTGGCTGAAAGCGGCGCTTCCTCCAGACATCTGATTCTCCTTATCCATGTTACAGACCCTCATAACCCCTTTCCGCCCGCTGTCTGGTTTCTGACAGGGCGTCGTATCGGTGATAGGTAAATAAACGCCCCCGACCTTCGAGAACCAGCATCCACATCAGACTTCCACATAGACTTGAGACTCTTGGAATTTCGGCTGATTTCCGGCTCGGCAAACTTTGACCGAAAATTCGAAGGAGCCCGGGCAGTCCGATCAGATACTACAGCCAATCAGCTGCAGTCATCATTCGGGTATTTATAAACAGCCGTGCTCCCGCGGGCACTTAAGTGTAATAGCTGGCAGGGGAGGTTCCTACATCCGACTTTTGGCTATTGGACAGGAAGTGAAGGGAAATCTTCCCAATGGCCGACACGGATTATAACCCTCTTTTGCTCCATCCAAAATGAAAAAATGTTTTTGCTTCCGCTCTGCATTAACCGTTTTGCTGCCAGTGTCCTATGCAGTATGTGACACTTTATGTGTGTGTGTTTTTTTTTTTTCCCCCTGCAAACATCTGCCAGAAAGATCTTGCGTAGATGATCAGTATTTTATTACGGCCGGGTCCATGAGGTGTTTGCAGCATTTAGAGAAGGGTGGTGGGGTCATTGAAAAAGCAAGGACTCTTCCAATGCTTTTCATCAGTGAGCTCACCAATGAATGTTACGAGGTCTTTTCTCATCCAGTTTTATGTCATTGTTTTGCACGGAAACACTCACTGCTCATAAATACTTCTCTTTTATATACCGTCTTATTAACATGGCACTCTGACGAGACAACAGCGAGTGTCTGTGTTTCCTTGCTGAGCGCGTTCGGCCAAATTATACAGGGAAAGCAGAGAACTGTGCTTTTAAGCGCAGCGGATTTAAATACGATATTCATTTCTAGCCTTTTGGCTAAGATCAAGTGTAGTATCTGTTCTTATCAGTTGCCGGAGGGGAAAGGACATGGTCGACTATGTAGAAAGGTGGACTGTGGCTTAGTACCCTCTGGTGTACTAAGCCGTCGCCGGGGGTTCAGCAAACATCTGAGCATTCCGTTATAAAGTAACTGCAACATTTCTATCCCCCCTTCCCCTCTTATTTACTCAGATTGTCCCAACCATGACGGGGCAGAAGCGGAGCTCCAGCAAGTTTGAAGCAGATGTTGCAGTAAAAGGCAAAGTCCGCCTCATGTATCTGGGCCCCACCCCCCATTGTAAATAGCAGCATGAAAGTCATAAAAAAAAACCCCCGCTAGGGTTCCATGTTGCACTCCATGACCATAACATGGAACATGGTATGAACAGTGGACGTGTCCTTTAAGATCTGCTCAGCTGCAGCCCCGGGGGCTCACATCAGAGGGATGACGGCTTCTGCACATTCCCTTTTGAAGTGTAATTGGCCCAGAGCCGATCTTCTGTGACAACGCTGACTGCACGGCGCTGTATTGGTGTCATTACAGAACACAGACAGGAATGCTGCTCCTCAACCAAACTTGCTTTTCCAGATCCTGCGCCGTATTTGTTTCCAAAACAAACATTTCAGGAATCTGTTGTACGGTTTTCATGGGAACGGAGGCATCCAACTTTTCCGGCTCTGCCGCCATTTTCGGAGACTCTGGAAGCATTTCTAGGGACCTTGCTGTGAAAATTGAGCTCATCCTTAAAGTGTGAATCCATTTCTGACATGTCGCATTGTACAGAAACAGTGTCACAGGCTCTGTTATCACTCTGCTGCAGGCAGGAGGAAGCATTTCCTCAGTCTCCCCCCAGTGATCAGTCTGCTGCAGGCAGGAGGAAGCATTTCCTCAGTCTCCCCCAGTGATCAGTCTGCTGCAGGCAGGAGGAAGCGTTTCCTCAGTCTCCCCCTCCCCCAGTGATCAGTCTGCTGCAGGCAGGAGGAAGCATTTCTATGCGTGTGTCCGATAACTGGAATACAGATCGATCGATTGATCATTTTCAATCGATCACTTCTGATTGATCAGACGTAAAGCTGCAGATGTGTCCGACGGGTGATCATAACACAGATCGATTGACTTGTTGTCAGTAGATCGCCTTCTGATCGATCGAACTCATATTTTAACGCGCGTCCGACAACTGATCGTAATACAGATTGTTTCTGATCGATCAAACACACATCTGCTTGGACGCCCAACTGCTGATTGATCATTTTCAGTAGACTGTTGATCGATTGAACGCATCTCTGCGCGTGTCCAACAACAGGTCATATTACGGGTAAATCGATTGATCGTTTTCAGTACATTGTTTCTGATCGATCGATCAAGCGAATATCTGTGTGTGTCCATCAACTGATTTTAATACATATCAATTGATTTTCAGTAGATTGTTCCTGATTGATTGAACGCATATCGGAGCATGTGTCCCAACAACTGATCAATTGATTGATTGCATTCAGTAGATCGCTTCTGATAGATATGCGTTAGATCGATCAGAAGCGATCTACCGAATACGATCAATCAAATCAATCAGTTGTTGGGACACCCGCTCCGATATGTGTCTGATCAGAAACGATCTGCTGAAAATGATCAATCAGTTGATCTGTATCATGATCAGTTGTCGGTCACAGGCTCAGATATGCCTTCAATCGATCGGAAACCGATCCGCTGAAAATGATCAATCAAGTGATCAGTTGTTGGAGATGCGCAGATATGCGTTCCATTGATCAGAAACTATCTACTGAAAATGATCAATCAATTGATCTGTATCATGATCAGTTGTCGGACACACGCGCAGATATGTGTTTGATCGATCAGAAATGATCTACTGAATACGATCAATCAATCGATCAGTTGTTGGACATCCGCGCAGATATGCATTTCATTGATCAGAAACCATCTGCTGAAAATGATCAATCAATTGATCTGTGTTATGATCAGTTGTCGGACACATGCGCAGATATGTGTTTGATCAGAAAACAATCTACTTGAAATGATCAATCAAACTCATATCTAAGCGGGTGTCCAACAACTGATCGATTTGATTGACCGTGTTCAGTAGATCGCTTCTGATCGTTCGAACGCATATCTGAGCCTTTGACCGACAACTGATCATAATAGAGATCAATTGATTGATCGTTTTCAGCGAATCGTTTCTGATCCCTCAAACACATATCTGTGCGCATGTCCGACAACTGATCGGGTAGATTAATCGTTTTCAGTGGACCATTTCCGTGGTATGTTGCGTCATTGGATGTACTAATCAATGATGGAATGTTTGCTTGCGATCGCTCATACTTGGATCGACCACGAATCGCTTCGTATATGGCCGCCTTCACGTTCACACGGGGCGATGGGGGGGAAGGGATTCCTAACGGTGGACTACAGCCTTACGCACGCTGCGTGCGTTCAGAGCCACGACGGCAGCCAAATTTGTACCGTGTATGGCGCCGCCGCTGTTCCAAGTTTGACCGCCTGACTGGCCTCAGATGCAGACAGGGGCCACGGTTCTGACCGCAGTTATTCATCCGGTTTGTACGCAGTCTAGCCATGTCGGGGCAAATAGGGAAAAACTGCATATGTTCAGCAACAAGTTCCATGCGTAGCCATGAGAGACGTAACATGCCTGCGGCGTGTCACATGTGTGTGCTGCCACAAATCATGCAGGTTTTTTGTTTTTCCTGTGCCAGTAGAAGCCGAGCAGTCGGCGAGAGGTTGTGGAGGAGAGAGGAAGACCTCCGGGGACCAGGGTGAGTGTTGGGAGAAGGAGTGGAGGGGGGGAGGAGGATGGGGGAGGACCCCCCCTGTGTCTGGAGGGACGGGGTAAAGTTGGCGGAAAGTTTGAGAAGTTGTCCCGACAATTGATTGGTTCAGGTTAGACCCCAAATCATGTTTCCTCGCTCCTCCTCCTCTTGTCCTATAAAGATCCTTATTGTAACTTTTATATTGACATGTTTTTCCTCCGGAAGACTACAACTCCCAGCAGGTTTCTCGGTTAGGTCCGCCGGGTCTTTTAGTTCCATAGCCCTGGAGAAGCACATTTGGTTGACCTGGTTGTATTATGTCCTAGGCGTTCTGGCCTTTGTTGTTCTCCCATATCACAAGTACTGTGTGTCGTCCATGTATAACAGAGGGCATGCTGATCCTTGTAGTGTCTGTTATACATGGGCCACACCAAGGAATATATCTTGTGTACTGTATGATAGCAGCTGCCTTCTACTCCAGAGGGCATGCTGATCCTTGTAGTGTCTGTTATACATGGACCATATGAAGGAAGAAGTCTTTTCTACTGTACGATAGCAGAGGGCATGCTGGTCCTTGTAGTGTCTGGAGTAGAAGGCAGCTGCTATCGTACAGTACACACGAGTTCTTCCTTCATATGGTCCATGTATAACAGACACTACAAGGACCAGCATGCCCTCTGTGATACATGGACCACACCAAGGAAGATATCTTGTGTACTGTATGATAGCAGCTGCCTTCTACTCCAGACACTACAAGGACCAGCATGCCCTCTGTGTACTGTATGATAGCAGCTGCCTTCTAATCCAGACACTACAAAGACCAGCATGCCCTCTGTTATACATGGGCCACACCAAGGAAGATATCTTGTGTACTGTATGATAGCAGCTGCCTTCTACTCCAGACACTACAAGGACCAGCATGCCCTCTGTGTACTGTATGATAGCAGCTGCCTTCTAATCCAGACACTACAAAGACCAGCATGCCCTCTGTTATACATGGGCCACACCAAGGAAGATATCTTGTGTACTGTATGATAGCAGCTGCCTTCTACTCCAGACACTACAAGGATCAGCATGTCCTCTGGAGTAGAAGGCAGCTGCTATCGTACAGTACACAAGAGTTCTTCCTTGGTGTGGTCCATGTATCACAGAGGGCATGCTGGTCCTTGTAGTGTCTGTTATACATGGACCATATGAAGGAAGAAGTCTTTTCTACTGTACGATAGCAGAGGGCATGCTGATCCTTGTAGTGTCTGGGGGTATAGTACGTGGCTGAGCCAATCCCAAGTTGCAATGCAGGTAAATGGCGGCGTGCACTGTACAAAAAGACGGCTCTGCTACAGCAGTTTGTCCATGGCTGGTGCCGTCTACGTCAGGGGTGAGCAATCTCGGCACTGTAGCGGGGGCGATGGTAAAGCGACAAATCCCATAATGCCTCTGTTTCTGGGAGTCATGCCTGTGGCTGTCGGATTTGCAGTGGCTCATGGGACTTGTAGTTCCACAACAGCTGGAGGGCTAAAGTCGCTTACTCCTGCACTAGGCTATGCAGACACTACAAATCCCATAATGCCTCTGCCTCTGGGAGTCATGCCTGTGGTTATCCAGACTTGCAATGGCTCATGGGACTTGTAGTTTCCACAACAGCTGGAGGGCTGAGGTCGCCCACCCCTCGGCCCATGTGAAGTGATTGCAGCTGATATTGGGGGCGGACAGATGAATGTGGAATTGGGAATCCAGGAGCCGTCTCCATTGGCAACAACTAGAGGAAACCTCGACAGTCGGACGCCAGCTGTCATGTTTGTGATTTGTCCCCAGCCCTGATATATATCAAAGGGTAGCCGACCTCGGCACCCCAGCTGTGGGGAAATTACAAATCCCATCACGCCTCTAGAGCCATGCCTGTAATTGTCAGTCTTGCAATGCCTCATCGGACTTGTAGTTCCACAACAGCTTGAGAGTTGAGGTTGCCTGTACATATATACACACACGCCTGAGCAAACTTTGCCCACCTCTGACCTAAAATGACCATTTACTCCTAAAGCTGAACTCCGGCCTCCCCTTCAGTCTTCTACCTGACCTCCGTCCTCCCCTTCAGTCTTCTATCTGACCTCCGTCCTTCCCTTCAGTCTTCTACCTGACCTCCGTCCTCCCCTTCAGTCTTCTATGTGACCTCCGGCCTCCCCTTCAGTCTTCTATCTGACCTCGTCCTTCTCTCTAGTCTTCTACCTGACCTCCGTCCTCCCCTTCAGTCTTCTACCTGACCTCCGTCCTCCCCTTCAGTCTTCTACCTGACCTCCGTCCTTCCCTTCAGTCTTCTA